CTCATGGGTTGGGGTCCCCATGCCCCTCTCCAGTCTGTGGGGCAGGCAGAGGAGAATGAAGCTTGGGGGGATGATACCCAAGGAGGGAACGGGGGCAGGGACTTATCCCTTATGCCCCCCCCCAGAAGGTGCTATAACCCTACTCACTCTGGCTATGGGAGGGGGCATTCCCACTCCAGAGCCCCCATGTATATGAGAGGGCCCCACCAGTGGGGGGGGGCTCAGCTGGGGGGTGGGGTGTCCCTGCCCCTGGAGCCATGGGGTGGGGGGGTGGGGGGGAGAGGCAGGCTCTGCCTGTCCTCACACAGGCGAAAGCAGCCATGTGCTCATGTAATAATAAAGTCTGTACAGCACAGTGCACAGTCCCAGCTTGGTGTGTTGGGGGGGGGAAGGGGGGTTGGCTACATATTCAGCTGCAGCTTTTGGGGAGGTTGATTTTCTCGCCTCCCCTCACAGCCCACTGCATCAGCAGGGAGACCCCCCACCCCCCCTTTACTGCAGCATCTGGGGGGGGGCGTGTCATCCCAAAAGTGCCCCCCCCCACCTCCATTTGCTGCAGTGACTAGCTGGGGCTCAGCCTCCCTCCCCTCCCCCCCACCCAATGCAGAGTGGGGGAACTACTTGAAAGAGGCCTAGTGGCCCCATCACCCACAGCTGCTCCCCAATTGAGCCCCCCCACATGGGCCTCCCCCTTTCCTGGGGCTTCCACCCCCTCCCCTGAGCATTTGCCCCCCCCGCTCAGGGCTGCCCCTGCCCTCGGCTGGTGGGCGGTGCCATGGGGGACCCAGCCGGCAGGGGTGAAATCGAGGGATTCCCCCCCAACAGCATTAATTACATTGTGGGGGGGGCAGTTCTGAGCCCCTCCCGATGCTACACTGCCCCCCCCCCCCCTGGACCAGGCCCTCTCCGAACCCCACCCGGCGGTGCTGGTTCGGGCAGCCAAGACGGCCATGCTCACAGGGCCAGATCCGGGGGAAACGGGCCCCCGGCATCATGGTGGCGTGACCCCAGGTTCTGCCCCGGCCCACGGAACAGGGCAGTTCTGGTTCCGCTGCGACACGGACCCGTCAGCCCTTTGGGTCAGGGCTGAGCAGGAGCTGGGGGGGGGGTTGGACTGAAGCGGCGCAGGGGGACCCATTTGACACCTGAGTTGGGGCCTTCCAGATCCACCTGGCAGCCCCCCCACAATTCCACTGTGACCCTAACTACACCCCGAAATCCCCCCAGCTGAGACGACCCAAAGCAGATCCCCAGTGACCCCCACACTCCTGTGAAGGGCCTTCTGTCAGGAGCCCTGTACCTGCTGCCCACCATAGCTGGGGGCTCTGTCTGCCCCAGGATGACCCAGCTGTGGGGCAGAGGGGCCAGAATTGGGCATGGGTCCCTGAGGTCGCGTCTCCCTTCAGCACCTGCCGTGCAACAGTGGGGGCAGGCAGGATTTATGGGGGTGCCCCCCATCTGCCCCCAAACCAGGCATCCTGGCTCCCCGTCGGTGCCCCAGCCCCTCCCAGCCCACACAACAGCTTTGGGGGGTGGGGGGGCATTTCCCTCTTTGGCCCCAGCCCAGCGGTGGCATCCCTGCTCCCGCCCTAATGCTGAGACACCCCCTCCCCGGACTGTGACCCTCCCTCTGAGCCCAGGAGCTGAGGGGCAAAAGATCCAGTCAGATGGGGCTGGGAGCCGGGACACCTGGCTCATGGAGGGCACCGAGCCCTGTTTCCTCTTGTGACCCCCCCCCAGGATAGAGCAGCCCCCTGCCACCTTCCCAATGGCTGGGGGAGGCCAGGAGGAGTGGAGCCTAATGGTTAGAGCAAGGTGTGGGGGAAGCTGGGAGCAGGACTCCTGGGTTCTATTCCCAGCTCTAGGCAGAGAGTGGAGCCTAATGGTTAGAGCAAGGTGTGGGGGAAGCTGGGAGCAGGACTCCTGGGTTCTATTCCCAGCTCTAGGCAGAGAGTGGAGCCTAATGGTTAGAGCAAGGTGTGGGGGAAGCTGGGAGCAGGACTCCTGGGTTCTATTCCCAGCTCTAGGCAGAGAGTGGAGCCTAATGGTTAGAGCAAGGTGTGGGGGAAGCTGGGAGCAGGACTCCTGGGTTCTATTCCCAGCTCTAGGCAGAGAGTGGAGCCTAATGGTTAGAGCAAGGTGTGGGGGAAGCTGGGAGCAGGACTCCTGGGTTCTATTCCCAGCTCTAGGCAGAGAGTGGAGCCTAATGGTTAGAGCAAGGTGTGGGGGAAGCTGGGAGCAGGACTCCTGGGTTCTATTCCCAGCTCTAGGCAGAGAGTGGAGCCTAATGGTTAGAGCAAGGTGTGGGGGAAGCTGGGAGCAGGACTCCTGGGTTCTATTCCCAGCTCTAGGCAGAGAGTGGAGCCTAATGGTTAGAGCAAGGTGTGGGGGAAGCTGGGAGCAGGACTCCTGGGTTCTATTCCCAGCTCTAGGCAGAGAGTGGAGCCTAATGGTTAGAGCAAGGTGTGGGGGAAGCTGGGAGCAGGACTCCTGGGTTCTATTCCCAGCTCTAGGCAGAGAGTGGAGCCTAATGGTTAGAGCAAGGTGTGGGGGAAGCTGGGAGCAGGACTCCTGGGTTCTATTCCCAGCTCTAGGCAGAGAGTGGAGCCTAATGGTTAGAGCAAGGTGTGGGGGAAGCTGGGAGCAGGACTCCTGGGTTCTATTCCCAGCTCTAGGCAGAGAGTGGAGCCTAATGGTTAGAGCAAGGTGTGGGGGAAGCTGGGAGCAGGACTCCTGGGTTCTATTCCCAGCTCTAGGCAGAGAGTGGAGCCTAATGGTTAGAGCAAGGTGTGGGGGAAGCTGGGAGCAGGACTCCTGGGTTCTATTCCCAGCTCTAGGCAAGGGGGCAATGTCCCATGGAAGGGGGGGGTCCCAGGAAGCTCTCTGCCCCCACCACACCCATGGCTGTGTTGTGCTATGTTCTTGTGTGTGTGTGCACATTTTTGTGTATGGTGCTTTGTCTATATGTCATGCGGAGGGGGGGGCTGACTGTGTGTTATGCCGTGTGCACAGCATGCATGCGTGTGTGTGTGTATGGTTTCACATGACTGTGTTTTATGTGCATTGTTTATGGCTGTTCTGTGCGTGTTCAAATTATTTTGTATTTTTTCATGCCTATGTGTGTTGTTTGCAGGGTGTGTTATTGTACCTGTGGGTGGGTGTATTTTGCGCAGAGTGTGTTATTTTGTGTGTTTTTGTGTTGGGTTTTTGTCAGTATTATTTTGCATGCATGTGCATGGTGGTTGGTGTTATTTTGCGTGTGTGTGTTGTCTTGTGCGTGTGTTCATGGTGTACTCTGCTGTTTTGTGAAGGAGACTGGTCTGTGTGTTGTGTTATCTGTATGTTGTGTGTCTGTGTGTATGTTGTGTTGTTGGAGGGGCCCCTCCCTCCGTCTCTTCCCAGGCCCTCCACCCTTCCTTCCCTGTGAGAACTGGGATGCCCCTTGGTCCCCTTGACCCACATAGGCCCCCTCCCCTCATGTCCTCTCCCCCCACCCCACCGGGATCGAATGCAGGAGTCAGTCTCAGACCACTGGGCAGCACTGCCCTGCCCCCTGCCATATCGCCTGGTTCCACACTTGCCACTGGGGTGGGTGTCTGAGCCCCAGGGCACAGCCCTGTGCTGGTGCCCAAGTGTTTGGATTGGGAAAGGGCCTGGGGGCAGAGCCCCCTGGCTCTTAACACAAGGGCTGCATCTGAGCCCTCAGAACGGGACGAGGAGCAAAAACTATGGACCCCGGCACCCACCCCGGCGTCCATCCCTCCGTCCGTCCGCACACACCCCGGCGTCCATCCCTCCGTCCGTCCGCACACACCCCGGCGTCCATCCCTCCGTCCGTCCGCACACACCCCGGCGTCCATCCCTCCGTCCGTCCGCACACACCCCGGCGTCCATCCCTCCGTCCGTCCGCACACACCCCGGCGTCCATCCCTCCGTCCGTCCGCACACACCCCGGCGTCCATCCCTCCGTCCGTCCGCACACACCCCGGCGTCCATCCCTCCGTCCGTCCGCACACACCCCGGCGTCCATCCCTCCGTCCGTCCGCACACACCCCGGCGTCCATCCCTCCGTCCGTCCGCACACACCCCGGCGTCCATCCCTCCGTCCGTCCGCACACACCCCGGCGTCCATCCCTCCGTCCGTCCGCACACACCCCGGCGTCCATCCCTCCGTCCGTCCGCACACACCCCGGCGTCCATCCCTCCGTCCGTCCGCACACACCCCGGCGTCCATCCCTCCGTCCGTCCGCACACACCCCGGCGTCCATCCCTCCGTCCGTCCGCACACACCCCGGCGTCCATCCCTCCGTCCGTCCGCACACACCCCGGCGTCCATCCCTCCGTCCGTCCGCACACACCCCGGCGTCCATCCCTCCGTCCGTCCATCCGCACACACCCCGGCGTCCATCCCTCCGTCCGTCCATCCGCACACACCCCGGCGTCCATCCCTCCGTCCGTCCATCCGCACACACCCCGGCGTCCATCCCTCCGTCCGTCCATCCGCACACACCCCGGCGTCCATCCCTCCGTCCGTCCATCCGCACACACCCCGGCGTCCATCCCTCCGTCCGTCCATCCGCACACACCCCGGCGTCCATCCCTCCGTCCGTCCATCCGCACACACCCCGGCGTCCATCCCTCCGTCCGTCCATCCGCACACACCCCGGCGTCCATCCCTCCGTCCGTCCATCCGCACACACCCCGGCGTCCATCCCTCCGTCCGTCCATCCGCACACACCCCGGCGTCCATCCCTCCGTCCGTCCATCCGCACACACCCCGGCGTCCATCCCTCCGTCCGTCCATCCGCACACACCCCGGCGTCCATCCCTCCGTCCGTCCACACACACCCCGGCATCCATGTGTCTGTCTGTCCGTCCGCACACATCCTGGCATCCGTCTGTCCGTCTGCACACACCCCGGCATCCATCCATCTGTCCGTCCGTCTGCACACACCCCAGCATCCGTCCGTCCGCCTGCACACACCCCAGCATCCATCCATCCGTCCACACACAGCCGGGCATCCATCCGTCCGCCCATCTGTCTGCACACACCCCGGGATCCATCCGTCCGTCTGTCCAACCGCACACACTCCGGAATCCATCTGTCCGTCTGCACACACCCCGGCATCCATCCATCCATCCGTTTGTCTGCACACATCCCAGCATCCATCCGTCCGTCCGTCCGTCCGCACACACCCCAGCATCCATCCATCTGCACGCACTCCGGCATCCGTCTGTCCGTCCGTCCATCTGCACACACCCCGGCATCCATCCGTCTGTCTGTCCACACTCCGGCATCCATCTGCCTGTCCATCCGTCTGCACACACCCCGGCATCCATCCATCCATCCATCCGTCAATCCGTCCGTCTGCACACACCCTGGCATCCATCCATCCGTCTGCACACACTCCGGCATCCATCTGTCTATCCATCTGCACGCACCCCGGCATCCGTCAATCCGTCCGTCCGCACACATCCCAGCATCCATGCATCAATCCGTCTGTCTGCACACACCCCGGCATCCATCTGTCCGTCCATCCGTCTGCACACACCCCAGCATCCATCCGTCGGTCCATCCATCCCCACACTCCCATGCATCTTGGTCCATCTATCCTCGCATATCCCCGCCACATACACACACACACGCGCACACGCACACTCACACACACTCTCTGGTAAATCTAAATTCTTTCTGGACGTTTATTTGGATGTTGTGAAGATACAGTTTTATTTTCATCAAATGTTTCCCAACTCAGAACCCCCCCCCCCTTCCTGAGTCTCAGGTGTCCAAGGGAGCACAGCTGGTGAGAACAGGCCCAGCATGAAGGAGGCTGTTGGTCTCAGGCCCTGGCTGCACCGTGGGGGGCCCAAAGCTGAAGGGGGTAGGAGGACGGGGAGACCCCTCTCAGTCCTCTCCCCGCACAGCTGCGCGGCTGGCCCTCAGACGTCGGCTGGCGGGAAACGTCCCACAACTTCCAGATCAGTGAGCCCGGCCAAGCAGATCCTGCTGCTCCGACCCCCAGGCCCGGCAGGGCGGGATCCTGCTGCTCTCGGACCCCCAGGCCCGGCAGGACGGGATCCTGCTGCTCTCGGACCCCCAGGCCCGGCAGGACGGGATCCTGCTGCTCCGACCCCCTGTGCCGGAGGCCGGTCCATTTGTATTGTCCGTGTTACCTGCCCTGGCAGTGGCTGGTGGCGGGG